CTACGCCTTCTTTGCGAAGTAATTAACGAATTAATAGTAACTAGAAAATGAATTAGGAACACAAGCGGTTAAGGGTAAGAAGTCACTATATCCTCCCAGCTCCCCAGTTTAATGGCTTGAAAAACTTTTTTAAAAAACGGTGGCTTATAATGGAAGCTCAACCAAAGTACTCGTTGCTTTCGCCTTCTTCTAGTCACACCAAACCTCTTTAATTGCTTCTAAATCAATATAAAGACTTTTTAATGGCAGCAACTTCCCGGCATAAATTTATTTCGCACAGGCACAGGTATCTTTATAATGTTTACGAGAAATGACGAAACTGCGAGGGAAAAATTTATTCACAGATATCCTAGAAGGTCCAAAGCATATCTGAAACCAATTGAAAAACAGATTGTTTTTTAAAAAAATTTCTCGTGGCCTTACCCCTTAAGAGACTCTACAATCTATAGAATTCCAAATTTGAATCTAAGAAAATCTCATCATTTACATATCTGTATCTAGTGAAATATGGCAGGATTTTAAAAGATAACTTTGTATGATCGATGAGTATTTGCATCAAACAGTGCAAGTACGAAAAAGACTATTTTTTGTTTCTGAATGTTGCAAGATAGGTAAGTGAAATGTACTCGGCAAATCCAAGTACTGGACCGTTTAAAATTTTGTTTCGCCTTTAGTTATGATACCCTACACAAGGATATATTGTGCTGATCTATGCAAAACCTAAAAAGACTTGAGGTAGGCCCGGCTTTTATTTCCTTTGAAAGCGATTCAAAATTGATTTAAGCTTGTGTGTCCATCTGTCCATTTAGTTTTCTTTTATTGAACTTAAAAAGTGTTTTGATTAAATCCGGTACATTGATGCGTCTTGACCGAAGGAAGAACGCTGTTGAGAATGATTCGAATCGAAACACTCTTTCGAACTTTTTTTATACAACGCCTCATTTGAATAGCCGTTCTGTGAATAACTGTCGAATGGTGTAGAGTTCAAAAGATAATTTAAACAGAAACAAAGCAAAAAAAAAATGTCATGAAAACTTTACCGTACTCTCACTGCTTTACCGTAACGGAAATTAAGAAATGTACGCGTATCCGCCTGTGGGCGAATCTTAAATCGTTGCAATATGTGTCAAATGAACATTTTATAGTGAAGCACAAAAATAGGCCCAACATAACATACACGTACGCATCATGTTGTAAAATTGGAAATTGTCTTTATTCAATTTTGCGGAGCGCTATAGCAATGTAGGAAAATGCAAAAAAAAAATATTCTTTGCATCGCAAGTGGACACAAATGACAGCGATTTTCGCCACCTCTTAGCTTGGAACTATAACATAAAATAAGAGTATGTATGTATTGCATCTCATATTTTACAAAAAAAAAAAAAAAAAAAAAAAAAAAAAAAAAAAAAAAGGAAGAAAACGAAAGGCATTTCGCTTTCAATGGCATGACCAAGTGACAGAACAAGAATTTTTGCAATTTTCAACTTAAAACTTATTCAAGAAAATTTGACTAAAGTTATCCTATTGACTTTCCAAAGTTTCTCGTACTGCATTTAAACTAACTGATTCTCATATTCGTAAAGATTTCGTTGTTTTTCCGACAATGTATGTCAAAAAATATTCTACATAAATATTTTGATAAAATGATTTAAAACAACGTAAACACGTACTGCAAACGTGCTATCCATGCATCCAATTACTACCAATAAAAAAATTTCTAGTCCATTTCCACGTTTGTACGAATGTATTTTGCATACATAAATGTATACATTTCCAAGTGCTTCGTACACTTTATACACTCTGTACAGGCTGCGATTGCTGAACAATTAAGTTTGCATGTACTGGTAAAGTACGGATTGCTTATATCCTGCACAAGACGACATGTCATTCTGTCTCTGTCTGTTTGTGTGTGCTTCCCGAACATGTCATTAGTTTTGTGCAAAAAAAAAAAAAAAAACAAGAAAAACAAGAAAAGCAAGAAAAGCAAGAAAAAAAAAAAAGAAAACTATATATAAAATGAAAATGTTGTATTTTATTATCAAAAAGTTGAGATATGCACTTGAGGACTTGCCTTTAAGCAATAGCATGTAAAAGGAAATGTGTTCATTTATTAAGAGATAAGGACGGAAAAGAAAATTGAAGCACATTTGCAAAAAGACATAAATTATTTCAAGCGAGAGAGATAGTTTTCTGTTAACTTGAGTTTTGTTTTATTGATTTGTTACTTGTTATGTTTGTGATGATAATGTAATTAATAATAATTAAGTTTGCTATACGAGTACGAGGATTAAAACTCATTGCATAGTTGAACTAATGTTTACGATACTTTTTCCATAAAGAAAAAAGCAATTCTTACGAAATATGTTTTTTATATGCGTCATATTCTTCTTTTAATATCGAATATCCTTACCAATGAGTGAATGTCTATGTGTTCACGTAGAAGAAGCAAAAAAATTGTCCGCTGCTAGGCTAAGGCTATAAAGCATTTGGTACGCTAATGAGTGGCGTATCTAACGCGACAGAGAGCAGTGTACAAACGATACTTTCCATGTCAGATAAAATAAACCTTCAGGCAACAACAAGTCAAATATTCATGATATTCGATAAGTTAGTCATCTGTTTACCATCCGCAGGAAATAAAAATAATTGTTTGCAAACTTTTTTTGTTGAGCATTTTTTTTGGGGAAAAACTTGAATTTCTTATAGCGAATAAACAACATTTCTTGAAAGATACAAAAATCAAAAGAGACATTATGAAATACTTGAATTGAAACGAAGGTGTAGGGGCTTAATTCGTGAATACTGTTCACATTATTCGATTGGTGTGCAACACTAGATATCTTGGAAAAATACACTATAAAGCTGTACGTTAATATTTTGCGCGAAGGTGGAAAAGCTTCGCGCAAGATGAGTGTTGCCCCCGATCAGACAATATTCTTATGATCAATATGGATTCAATGACGTTTAATATCAATTCGTTTGATTGTCTCTGAAACGTAGTTTCACCACTACACGACGGAATCACGTTAGATAGGGAAAGAGTGGCCTTTACGGGAAAGAAGCGTACTACGGCCAGCAATGCATTATCTTCATCGATTAAATAATAGTAAGTGATCAGATCATTATCGTTCGAAAATGAAACAAATAGACCGATGGGGAGGAGCCATTTAGTGAACCTTCTTTTCAGTTACTATTTCGGAAGGCAACGTATTTCTCTAAATTATGTTTAGCGAAATGTAAATCACGTTTAAGAAACGCGTTCGTGTGATCAGTCCAAAGAAGAATTCAGAGATGCTTAATACGAAGACATGTGAGTTTATTCGTTATTACGTAACGGAGCCATATGCAACATCGAAAGAATAGAGTTTACCGGGTGGAAGCGAGCGCTCACGATAATAGAGTTCTTGAATCGCTTGAGTATAAAACCCGTTTACAACTCAAACACAAGAATGATAAAACTATGCAAGTTGAAATATTTTGTTTATGCAAGTCTTATATTCTTCTAATCTGTCCACCAAGGACAACTAAGTGCACGAAAACCTCTAAACACGGTTGTCCAGTAAACGTTTTCAGCCAAATAAAGAACCCGAATAAGGAAGAACCGAATCTTTTGCAATGCTCATGAAATC